CCACGCCATGCAAGCTTGCCTTCCAACAGCTAGCCATTGAAGATGACAAATTTGAATCTTGCCCAAGCGAGCTTGAATGGGAGGAGCTTGCAGTCATCCAAGAATTCCTTGAACCATTTTATCGAGGTGAGCATAAACTTCTTTTTCTTTTCTCTTGCACCTATAAATTTGTACTGATTCTATAACTCAATCCTTGTAGCCACTGTTTTGCTAAGTGGGACCAAGTATCCAACAATCAACCAAGCCTACCGAGCAATGACAGCTATCGAGATGCGGCTCACCCAAACCAACAACTCCAAAGAACATCCTCACATATTCAATATGATTTCCCCGATGAAGGCAAAGTTTGACAAATACTGGGAATCGGCAAAGGAACTTACGGCCATAGGAATGATTCTAGACCCTCGATACAAGATACGCTATCTCCGCTACAGCCTTGAGAAGCTGGAAAATCTCCCAGTGGCCCGAGCCGATACCTTTATTGGAAAAGTTCGATCATCTTTCTTATCCCTCTGGAATCAGTTTATCCCTCAGTCACCCGATCCCAGCCCAGCAACTGTGTCTCAATCAACCACCACGAACAAGAGGAAGATTGATGCCGATATCTCTGGATTCCAGGAGTACATGGCCGGCACCCAGGGCGGTTCTCAATTCAATGCTCCTGCGGCAGAGTTGGATCTATATCTTGAAGAACGAAACGTAAACGCCTCGGAAGATCACTTCAACGTTCTAGCTTGGTGGGAATCAAATGCAACTCGATTCCCTTCTTTGTCTGAGTTTGCCAGGGTCATTCTCATGATTCCAATGACGTCAGCGGCATCTGAGTCTGCCTTTTCTACTGGAGGTCGCATTCTAGACGATTACCGCATGCGCCTCAGTGATGAATCAGTTGAAATCTTAATATGCACCCAGGATTGGATGAAAGGCTCAAAGAAAAATAGGTTATAGTTCTTTTTTTACTTATATTTACACATGTTTCTCTTTTTTTACTTATATTGACACACGTTTCTACATAAAATCATTGAAAAATGAAAGAAGTAAAAAAAATGCCCACCTCCATGAAGCTGTAGTCCTTTTTGTTTTTACTTATATTGAATGAATTGAAAAAACTTGCCAGCCTCCTTGTCCTTAATATTTCATTTTCTGTCTTTTATTTTCTGTGCTGGCAGCCCACGGGCAGCCCATGGTCAGCCCATGGGCAGCCCGTTTGCAAAATGGACCAGGCCAGGCCAGCCCATTTGCTAAATGGGCCAGGCCAAGCCTGCCTGCTAAGATGATGGGCCCTGGCGGGCCGGCCCACGGGCAGCCCAAGCCTGCCTGTTTGCCATCCTTATGTGTGACAATATGGAGTTCTAGGTATGTACTATGTATTTATGCAGTATGTAGTATGCATATATAGGTGTTATGCACATATTAGATGAGGAATAAAAAGAAAAGCCATTGGATCAGTTATTTGGAGATAACCATATTTATGTGCAATGAAAAGTAACTCCAAAGAGTTCCATTTATTTGAAGAAATACAATAAGAGCTGTACAAAAAAATACATAAGAAATAAAAACTGCAACATCCAGAGGGAAAAAACAAGTGAGAATCCTGCAAAAAAAAGATAAACCAGTTTTTTTTTCAAAAATAAACTGGAAATTCAAAAAAAATGTAAATCTTGTTTGGAAAATTTGGAACACCCCCTTGGGGGGGGGGGTGTAGCACAGAAGAACCCCGGGGCACTGTAGTGGTGCAAACAATCTTTCTATTATTGTGAGCATATATATATATAGGGTCTTGCTTAAACAACTCCTAGATATTGGAGTTCTGACTCCCAAATATTTGTGATGCCCCGGCCCAGAGGACCGGCTGTGGATGGTCCTCTCAATATTGACCCCCCCCCCCTAATTTTTTTCCTCCATTATTTTGGGAGTCAGAACTCCAAAAGGTCAGACCTACAACAAAAATAACAAAAAAGGAACCCATGGGTGTTTTTGGATGTCAATCCTCTAAAATCCAGTGAGCATTTATTTTTCCTGGTGTCAGGGCTGGGGCCAGGCAGCCTGAGAATGAATTTTAGATTCATATTGGTCAGCCCCTTGGAACTTGAAGACTCCAATTAAACACTTGGGTGGCCCATGGTGGGTTGGACCGGACTTTCCTTTGAATGGGCTAACCCAAAAAGAGTGCTTCTCGATACTATTTTATATTGGGCTTTGTTAAAGGACTCCCAAGATTTGGAGTTCCAACTCCCAAATCTTGGGGACCATCTCCCTATTTTTTCCCCCTGGTTTTTTGGGAGTTGTTCCTCCCAACCCTTCAACAGCTTTGGGAGCCAACTCCCTAAAAAAATAATGAAAATGATCAACATGAAGAATCCCCTGAGGGGTTTTTGGGAGTCAATAATCCAAAACCCCATGGGGGGGGTTGTGAATCGGTGTAAAGCTCAAAAGTGTTTGTGAAAACCTTTTGCTGAGTGTGGAAAGGGATGAATGAGGATACCTCTGCCTTTCCTGGATCACTAGACACTAGATAAGCCCACCAATCTCAGAGTGGAAGGTTTAATAAAGTGATAGTGGAGTGTATCAAAGGATAACTGTGGCTTAACAGGTGGACAAAGGGTTTAACCCAGTTTTATAAGGGTTTCTAAGGTTGATTTGAGAGTGAGAGAGTGATTCTAGCTGATATCTCAATGTAAGGGGATGGTATGTAAGGGTATGTAAGGGTTTGTAAGGTTAGGGGGTATGAAATAGGTGGATACTAAACTGAGGGGAAAACAACTGAGAGGAGAGCCTCTTAAATACACAAAGGTGAGGGATTTTAGCTTCAGGGGAACAAGAGAATGAGAGATTTTAGCTGGCCAGAGATTGAAAATGAGGTGATTTAGCTAGTCAGAACATGTACATGAGGTATTTTGGCTGGTTGAGCAACCTACATGATGTCATAAGAGTTATTTTAGCTTGAACTAGAAGTCTAAATGAGGGGTTTATGCTGGTGTAGCATTCTACATGAGGTGATTGCACTAGTCTAAAACTAAGATGGAGTGATGCAGATTACATGAGTGGTGTGAGATAGTCTGACAGCTGCAAGAAAGATTAACAAGCGACATGGGAACAGGTCCAGCCCAGAAGCTGCATATGTCAATATGTCAGAAGATAGTGGAGTGGTGTGTATACTTGTACTATAATGGTGTGATTATGTAGTTGTCCTGCAACATGCATGTGTGTAGTGTGAATTATGTAATTTGTTGGTGGTGTTGAGTGTTAAGTGTTGACATGGTGTTGGGTTGTGTAATTGAGTGTAGTGATGGTCCAGAGAGTGTAGCTTCCAATCCAGTTGAGTTCCAGTG